CTATAGCTTTTTGAGTGATCATGTTACAATTAAGATCTGGTACTACTACTTGAGAGATGAACATTCTAATGCAACAAAGAAGAAGGTCCTCAAACATTTCTCAAAGTAACATATGAGAAACAAGGGAAGCATGCCCTTCATATCAAATGTACCCAAAAATCTTCCACTTAGATACTGTCTATGTTAGGGTTTTTTGATAAGAAGGGAAAGCGGTAGAGAGAAAAACGATAGTTTGGTGAGAACTTCTCAACTCAAATTTTCATTCTACTACCCCATATTACATACTACAATGCAAATAGATGGCCCATAGGCCCAAAAGCAATTTGGGTCACAATATAACAATCTCCACCTTGAGACAAATTGCGCCCAAACAAGCTATAAGCATAAAACTAACCCAAACAAAAACATACATAAAAACACAACTAGCATAAAGTAGCAACAAACAAAGACAACTAGCAACAAACTAGAAACAAAGCACCACCGAACTTGAGCAAAACTTAAACTTTGCAATTGGAAGAGACTTAGTGAGCATATCGGCGGGATTTGATTCGATACCAATCTTCTTCACGACAACCTTCCCTTCCGTGATCACATCTCGAACAAAATGATACCGAATGTCGATGTGCTTGGTCCTCTCATGGTACATGCGATCCTTCGTCAAATGAACGGCACTTTGGTTATCACAATATATCGCAATAGGACCCTCAAATGAAGACATCTCTCCAACAAAAGCCTTGAGCCAAATAGCCTCCTTAATAGCCTCGGTAATTGCCATATACTCGGCTTCGGTGCTTGAGAGTGCAACGGTTGATTGAAGTTGAGACTTCCAACTAATTGCACATCCTCCAAAAGTAAACACATAACCGGTCAAAGACCGTCTCTTATCAAGATCACCCGCAAAATCCGCATCCACATAACCCGTTAGATTATCATTGTTCCTTCCAAACTCCAAATGAGCATCAATGGTACCCTTCAAATAGCGGAAAATCCACTTCACCGCTTCCCAATGCCCTTTTCCGGGACAAGAAAGATACCTACTTACCACACTAACGGCTTGAGCTATGTCGGGCCGAGTACACACCATCAAGTACATAAGACTCCCAACCGCACTTGAATATGGAACTTTCTCCATATAGCTCTTCTCATGATCGGATTTCGGGCTCATGTCGGCGCTAAGCTTGAAATGCATCGCAAGAGGAGTAGACACAACCTTTGTCCTTTCCATACCAAATCGGCGTATCACCTTCTCGGCAAAACTCTTTTGTGAAAGAGATAGTTTCCGGTTGGACCGGTCCCTTGTGATCTCCATGCCAAGAATCCTTTTGGCGGCCCCTAAATCTTTCATCTCAAATGCCGAACCAAGTTGCTCCTTCACCTTTCGAATTTCTCCCAAATCGGAGGCCGCAATCAACATATCATCAACATAGAGCAACAAATAGATGAACTCATCACTCACTAGCTTTTTGAAGTAAACACAACTATCATAGCTAGAACGGTGGAAGCCAATACTTACCATGAATGAGTCAAATTTCTTGTACCATTGCCGCGGGGATTGCTTAAGGCCATAAAGGGACTTCTTCAACAAGCAAACATGATCCTCTTTTCCCATGACTTCAAGCAACCCAATCGGTCGCATTCTTCGAGGAGATCGCCTCTTTGTAACAAGATGGCTCGTTTGAATCCAAATCTTCGGCAATGGACAAACAATAAGCATAATCGGAATATCCATATCTTGAAGGTGGCCGGATTTCCCTTCTTGTGCGGTCCCTCGCCAAAGCATATGGTTGATCTTCTTCTTCCTCTTCTTCGATATGAGCATCATCATGATGTGACGTGGCCTCATCACCTTGTTGGACCGGCACTTCAAACTCCACCTTCTTCTCAAATGTCTTGTCCTCCTTGGTAGTTGGCTCGGATGCTCCACCTTGTGTCTTCAACATAGTCGATTCATCAAATGTAACATCCATTGAGATGAGAAACTTGGACAATTTAGGACACCATAATTTGTACCCCTTCACATTCATAGGATACCCAACAAAAACGCACTTCTTCGCCCTTGGCTCCAACTTTCCTTCATTCACATGGATATAAGCGGGACAACCAAACACCCGCAAGTTTGAATAATCGGCCGGCTTACCCGACCACACTTCTTCGGGTGTCTTGCACTCAATCGAAGTGGTAGGAGATCGATTCATCAAGTAGCATGCCGTGCTTATGGCCTCGGCCCAAAACTCCTTACCCAAACCCGCATTGGAAAGCATACACCGAGCTCTTTCAAGTAGTGTCCGATTTGCCCTTTCGGCAACACCATTTTGTTGTGGAGTGTGTACAACCGTCTTATGACGAACAATCCCTTCGGCCTTACAAAAGTTGTCAAACTCACGGTTGCAAAATTCTAAACCATTATCGGTCCTCAACCTTTTCACTTTCCTTCCCGTTTGCTTTTCCATAAGAGACTTCCATTCTTTGAAGTTTTTGAACACTTCACTTTTCTCTTTCAAGAAATAAACCCAAAGCTTCCTTGAGAAATCATCAATAAAAGTGAGCATGTAACGGGAGCCATTTCCTCTAGATGGCACTTGAGAGGGTCCCCAAAGATCCGAATGGATGTAGTCCAATGTTCCCTTGGTCGAATGAATGGCCGTCGAGAAGCTCAATCTCTTTTGCTTGCCAAGTACACAATGTTCACAAAACTCCATATTGCCGGTGCATTGGCCGCACAACAAGCCTCTCCTACTCAAAATGGTCATTCCTCGCTCGCTCATATGCCCCAACCTCATATGCCACAACTTCGTAACATCCGCATCCGAGGTAGGAGCCGCAATAGCCGCCGAGCCCGTGACCGTAGAACCTTGCAAGAAATAGAGAGTTCCAACTCTTCTTGCTCTCATGATTGTGAGAGCCCCTTTTGACACACGAAGAACTCCACCTTCACTTTGGAACTTGCATCCCTTTTCTTCTAAAGAACCCAAAGAAATTAAACTCTTTGTCAAAGCGGGTATGTGTCTCACACCCGTCACTCTTCGGATCTTGCCATCATGAAACTTGATCTTTACCGAACCAATCCCTTCAACCTTGCACAAATTGTTATTTCCCATAAGCACTTTACCATCCGTGGGCTCATAGGTCTCAAACCAATCTCGATTAGGAGTCATGTGTTGTGATGCACCCGTATCCATAACCCAACAATTCTTGTCATCAATGTTGGTATCAACCACACACAAAGTATCCATCGTGTCACAATTGGCCACATTGGCCTCTCCCGAAGAAGCACCTTTATCCGCCTTTTGTTTGTTTTTGAGCTTGAAACAATCGGCTAGAATGTGTCCCTTCTTCTTACAATAATTACATGTGAGATTCTTGTGTCTTGACTTTGAACGGGTCCTTGAATATTTCGGGGTTTTGTCCTTCGACCTACCCCGATCAACAACCAAACCAACGCCTTGAACTCCTTTCTCCAAATTGGTCATCTCATTATCAATATGTAACTTGGCTTGTAGATTGCTCTTCACATCCTCAAGAGTGATTTGATCTCTACTATAGATCATCATGTCTCTAAAAGCCTTATAAGAAGCCGGCAATGAGCACAACAACAATAAAGCTTGGTCCTCATCCTCTACCTTAGCACCAAACTTGTCCAAATCATTTAATAATGATGCAAACTCCGAAATATGATCGTAAATGGATGTACCTTCAACCATACGAAGAGTGTAGAGGCGCAACTTTAACCGCAATCGGTTGGTAAGAGACTTTTTCATGTAGATACTCTCCAATTTCTCCCATAAACCCTTGGCGGTCTTTTCCGAAAGGACCTCTTGTAGTGTTGAATTGCTCAAACACAATTGGATGGTCGAAAGAGCTTTATCATCCATATCAAGCCACTTCTTATCGGTAACGGCTTCAACCAACTTATCTCTACCATATATGGCGCCCTTAATTCCAAGACTGGACAATATGGCGGCCATCCGCACTTGCCAAAGTGCAAAACTCGTCTTCCCATCATACTTCTCAATATCAAATTTTCCAGTCATCTCCATTCACAAATGCCAATTTAACAGCTTCAGATTTAATCAAAAGCACCAAACAACCCCAAGAACGAATCTCTCGTGCAATTTGAATAGTATTGGGCCAAAATGAATAGAATCCCCAATATAAACTCCCCAGAAAAACGAACAGAAGCACGGTTGCAAAATCCCCAATGTATAAGCCAAAGAGTCCAAGTTACCGATGCCAGAGTCGAAGGACCAAAGAGCGGAGGAGGATCCGATGCCGGAGTCGAAGGGCTCAAGCTCGTCGGAGATGAACTCGAGCTGGACGAACTCGGAGTGGAGGGCTTCTCGCGGGATGACGGCGAACCGATGAGGTCGAGCTGCTACTCCGATCTGGACGAACCGAGCTGGACGAAGGATGACGAACTGGGGCTGTCTCGAGCTTGACGACGGCGAACTCGACCTAGGGCGACGAACTCGAACTAGACGAGGGCGACGAACTCGAGCTGGTGCTCGACGGCGACGATGAACGGAGATGGATCTGACGGCGACGGCGGCTCTGATACCAGATTGTTAGGGTTTTTTGATAAGGGAAAGCGGTAGAGAGAAAAATGATAGTTTGGTGAGAACTTCTCAACTCAAATTTTCATTCTACTACCCCATATTACATACTACAATGCAAATAGATGGCCCATAGGCCCAAAAGCAATTTGGGTCACAATATAACAGTCTACATACAAAAATTTACCACGTGCATTGCACGTGCAATTCAACTAGTAAGATACAAATACAAGGGTGGTTGGTAAGGAGATTACATTGTGCTTATATGTCAAAATCAACTATGGATACTGATCAATTGAAATAACAACATATAAAGATAAAATGTAGAGATGAGGATAACATATAAGATTAGAAAAGTATATATATCATGCTAGACAAAAACCTACTTAAATGTAACAAAATTTCTCAAATCAGAGTCCAAGCACATTTTTGACATATCAAAAAAAACTATGGTGGATCACAAAAATGGATCTCACATCCACTAATCTAAGGTGAAAATGAACGAATATTGAAATTGTTCAATCAATACATAATCTGATTATTTGGACACGAGTTGAGATACTCACTTGCATTCATAATATCCGTATCTGTATCCCATCGGAACAAGAGTATTCTACATACAACATACTAATTCAGAATACTTGTATATATAAATTGTACAAAATCTCCTTTTCACTTAGGAGCTCTATAGCTTTTTGAGTGATCATGTTACAATTAAGATCAGGTACTACTACTTGAGAGATGAACATTCTAATGCAACAAAGAAGAAGGTACCCAAACATTTCTCAAAGTAACATATGAGAAACAAGGGAAGCATGCCCTTCATATAAAATGTTCCCAAAAATCTTCCACTTAGAAACTGTTTACATACAAAAATCCCTATGGTTTATCATCTAAGCCAATAATACCTTACGATATATACCACTCTCTGATAATATATAGTTCCAGCTAAACAAGCAGCCGAATTTTTTCATCCTGAGCTACCAAATCCAATTTAGTCCACTTTGAACGGATAGTGATCACGAGGAGAGTTGATTTTTTCATCCTGAGCTACCAAATCCAATTTAGTCCACTTTGAACGGATAGTGATCACGAGGAGAGTTGTTGCTTGACAAAAGAGCCCACAGATTAGACCTAGCCACAATCCCTGCACAAATAGAACAATAAGAGTTTAGATCTCTTCATGCGTATATAAGGGAATCTTCTCCCCAACACAAAATTAATTAAAAAAAAGAAGAATATATTACATTCATGATGAACGTCTAAGCTTAATTCCGTGTCTTTGAAATTTTTACATCATGATGAATGTTATTGTCTTTCTATAATATATATATACACCTATAGCATAGGGGTCTTCTTTCTTTTTCTGTTGAGAGAACGACTGGTGCTATATTTAGTTGCTTGGTAGAAGAAAATTTACCCTTTGTAAGAAGTTGGCAACCTGCTATTGCCCTATAAATAGTTGATCCAAAATTTGTATGCTCAAATGTCATGGACCATTATGTGACATTAAATGAGGAAACTGCTAAACAACATATGTACAATCCCATTATTGTAGAGAGTACATGTGTATCACTGGTAGTTATATATTCTTGTCTCTCATAGTTGGGTGAAAGAGGGACATAGGACATAATATAATGGTAGAGACTGTTGTAGTACATTAATGAGGGCACCAAAAATGACAATATATAACTCCGTGATGCATTACATTAACGAGACACCAAAAAGATGTCAACCATTTGGACTAAAAGATTTACTGATTTGTGCGCTTATCCAACAACTGAAATTAATCCGGTGCATCATTAATGCAATGAACTGGGACCATTGAATATTTTCTCGTGAGGGAGATTGTTAGTTTTCTCTTATAACACAGTTAACCTCTTTCAATACAACATGATGTCCACTCATACGCCATACACAATTACTATGGTAAGACCACACCTTTTAGAAGTATCAAGAATCCTCAAGTCAATATGCTAGAAAGCTTTGCAATTGGCAATGGTTGCATTTAATGCATGAATTATACTATTTTCTGCTCCAAATACGAAATCTATTACCTTACGCAAATTGTATATATGCATATGCGTGTAGCGGTCTTGTGATTTCAATTGATGAAGAAAACATACATACAAATTTAACCCATTTCTTCAGGCTCATGCGCCAACAAACATAGGATTGTTTACATTTAAAATGAAGTTAACATACCTTATCGTAAAACCCGAGCTTAAATCCAAAGAGGAGAGCCACTGGCATGCCGAATAAGTAAAAACATGCTAAATTGGTCCAAGCTGCTAAATGCTGCCAACCACATCCTCTAGACACTCCTACAAAACCATGACATGCTAAATTGGTCCAAGCTGCTAAATGCTGCCAACCACATCCTCTAGACACTCCTACAAAACCATGAAATTTAGGAATATTAACTCCACAAATAAAATTCTAAATTCTAAATTTTCATAGAAACTTTAGTGATCTGAAATTTAGGAATATTAACTCCACAAATAAAATTCTAAATTCTAAATTTTCATAGAAACTTTAGTGATCTTCACCTGATAGAACTCCTTGTGCTGAGTCCAACAGTATAGACACCGAGAGCAAGGGAATCATCGAAGCAAATTCTTTAATGATCATGGCGTTTTTGGTGAAAGATTTGGCCCAAATCTTCTGGCCAAATGCTAGTGAAAGAATAAAAGTGAGAGCGAGAAAGAAAGAGAGCTTCAGCGTGACAGATATGGCGTTCTTAGCCTTCTTGATGTTTCCAGCACCCATCTCATTTGACACTCGAGTGCTGCGACGATAACGAAATCAGAAACTATGTAAGAAGTTTTTTTTGTTAGAGACTAGAGAGTTTGTAATGGAAATAGATGAGGATACGTTTTGTACCTCACTGCTGCACTAAATCCATATGTGATCATGTACGCAACGGCTTCCGTCTGGACACTGTTTTCAAAGCAAAACCTAGCTTTAGAATGCATATGCAGTGGGAAAATACGATAAATTTATTTAAAATCAGGAGAAGGGCAAGTAGGCATACCACATAGCAACAAGTGAAGTACTGTTCTCAGAGTTCGGCATCAATCCAGCCAGCAACACTAGAATCTCGAAAGCACAACATTCCAAACTATGACAACAAGAACAAGATCTAAGTTAGCTAACACATCAAGGAAGATGCTATACAGATAATCTGATGCCCATAAATTTGAGCCAGATAACATAATATCCATAAATTTGAGCCCTGTCAGCATTGAAATAGAGGAAACTAGGGACAAGGAAAGAACTAACCACATCATTAATGCGGAGGATATTGCCAGCTTCAAACTAGGAAGCACATGGTGGAATGATTCCATGGATAATCCTTCCCAAGTGTATCTAAATTTCTCTGAATAATTGACATATATCGCCAACATAAACACTGATATCCACAGTGATATTGAGCTAGCCAATGGTGATCCAATGAAACCGAGGCCCAAGGTATGAACAAATAAATATGTTAATCCCACATCGAAAACAAGGGGGAGTAGAGAGCAAATAACTAGAGGAACCACCAGTGACTGAGTCTGGAGAAATCTCACTAGGCACTGTAGGTAGGCGTAGGCAAATAGTCCAGGTATCAGAAATCTCAAATAGATGGTAGCCATTTTCGCTACACTAGGATCTTGGTGCAGCAAAAGTAATACCGGTAGAAATCTCAAATAGATGGTAGCCATTTTCGCTACACTAGGATCTTGGTGCAGCAAAAGTAATACCGGTTCTGAGAAGTACCACAATATAGATACGATAATTGAAGCGAATGTAGTCAGGATAATCGATGATTGTAAATTTATCCCCAACATTCTGTATTGTTTTGCTCCGTATCCTTGACCACAAAGAGTCTCAAGAGCTCCACTCAAGCCAGCCTGAAACGGTTGAAGAATTAAGAGCAAAAATGGTCATTGAACGTAAAAGAAAAAGCAATTGCCATGCTATAATGTTTGGCTCATATTATACTTAAATGCAAGTGAAAATCGGAAAGATTCAAACATTTGAATGATAACATTTGGAAATATGCAGGTTCAGTTTTCATTACCTTTTGCCCCTTATCAGTGGCATATTGCAAGGGATCAAATTAAATGGAGAAAAGAAAACTATTATGTCGGCATAATAATCATGAATACAGTGTTTTCAATGTCTCTACAATGCCCTGTATCTTTTTTTTTTTCGAACTACAACATATGAATCTTTAGGTCTTCTCAGAGATCTCTACAAATGTGAAATGATATTTGAATAAAACACACCGTATAGAATACGACTCTTGTTGAATATGAATACGTGAATGTAGAAATAAGCCACTCATATTCTGCATCTTTTTTCAAAGCAGGTTACGATAAAAGGCGGGGAATTGCATCACATAATTAACAGCCAGCTTAAAACCTAGTCAGATCATTTATGAATGCGACATGAGTCATACAGAAAGAAAATTACCAAAAACTGTCGTAAATTAGCGAGGGGTGAATTTTTTTTTATTATAATTACCATGAGACTTAACCCAGTAACAGTCCCCCAAGAATTGCCAAGAGTAGCGCCAGCAAGCTCAACATCACCCAGATGACCAGCAAACATAACGGCGACGAGGGTAACAGCATAATACGACATGTTGGTGAGGATCATTGGAACAGAGAACAGCAACTGAGTCCTGGCCTCGTTAACATCTATAACTTTGCTCATAAACCCATTAACTCCTTCGGTTTCGAACCCCACCTTCTCAAAATACACGACAAGAGGAGATGTTGAAGCCATGGCTGGCTTTCTTCTCTCTGAATGCAGAAGGAGGGAAGTTGCAAATGAAAGGGCTTTTTTCCAATGATTATATAATAGGTTGGAAGTTGACGAGTTTGACTGCAAAATTCATATATTTGTTCCAATGAAAGGGTTTTTCCAATGATTAATTGGTGGCAGTTGACGAGTTTGACTGTAAAATTCATATATTTGTTCCAATGAGAGGGTTTTTTTCCAATGATTAATTGGTTGGCAGTGGACAACTGAGACTTTTGTGCTGCACTCTTCAAACAAGGAGGCGTGGATTCCTCTGTATCGAATAGAAACAACTGCGTATCTTCATCCTATTAAAAAAAGGAAAAATTGCTTTGAGGCCCCAAATTCCAAGTTTCAATGTGCCCCAGTCCTTCCTACTTTCACCAATGTGCTGCAGCTTTTCTTTGAAAAAATTATGCTCAGGCCCCCTCCAACTCATGCTAGCTCATGATTTGACGCAAGTCCACCTAAAATCCTAATTTTACCCTTTCTCTTTCTCATGCCTGCTCATGTTAACTATTATAGGTAACATGTTAACCATTACAGTTTACACATTAAGCTCAAGACGAAAATCATTTGCACCTCATTCTTCTCCTCCATTGGCACGTGGGCTGTGTCCAACATCTCCACCAAGCCCCATGTCCGCCTCCGCCCACGCGAAGTTCCTCGGCGTTTGAAATTACCTCGTGTGCTCTTCACTCACCCTCTTCTTCTTCTTTTTCACCCTATAGTTGTGCCCACTTTGTATGGAGCGGGGAAGGATGGCAGAGGCGCTTGGGAAGGTGCTGGTGGCGGAGCGGGAGAGGGAGGCGGAGGCGCTTGGGTAAGAACATAAAATTAAGTGCGCCAATGCAATCACAAACAAACAATATGATTACGGAGTTCGGTCCCCACGACCTACGTCTCCGCTCCTCACCTCGAGGAGATCTCCACTATCACAACCGGGTTTTCTACGTTCACCCGAACAACGTTTACACCTCACAATACAATCACTATGCAATCACACCTCACACACTAAGTGTTGGTCCTAGCCCGTGTCCTCCTCCTCAAGTGCTCGGTTACAACCTCTCCCTAGGCACGTCAACCGACGCCACTCCTCTTGGATTCGACCCCGTCTCTCACCACACACTTCTCTCGGTGTACAAGTGTATTACAAGTGAATCATCACAATTAGGCTCAATACAAAGTGTTTGTTCTCTACAATGAATGAGAACGAATTATAAGCTCACTCTCTAAGTTACACAATCCCACAACCCAATTATACTATGAATGTAAATACAATAAGTTCAATGGTTGTGTGTGTACAAAGAGATAAATAAAATCGATTAAACTAAACTCAATATAAATCTAGCTTATGGAAATAATAATCAAAATAATAAATTGCTAGATGAGTTTAGAAACACTTCTCTAAAGATGACAAGAGAGTGGGAGAAGAGTGAATGCTCAAACACCAAAGGATGATCTCCAATTGCTCTTGTGAAATTTGCTTCACAAACAAAACTCTTAAACACTCTTTTAAACAAACACAAAACACCCTTAAACTTGTTTAAACTATTCTCTTGGTTTGGTTGAAAGAGAACAGCAATAGGGTATTTATACCCATTCTAAATCTCAGCCAAAACCCCTAACAAAAGACAAAAACAGCCCCAGCAAACAGCTCAGGAAATAGCCGTTGTAAAAGCAACGGATCTATTATCGGTCGACCGGAAATTTCGTCGGTCGACCGACGGAGAGCAAAAGCACGAAGAAGCAGTTCTGGACCATCATCGGTCGACCGGTGCGGTCGACCGATGGAGCTCTCGGTCGACCGGATCGGTCGACCGACCAACTCTCTGCTGCATGCTGTCGAAGGAACAAATGAGCGGTCGACCGGATCGGTCGACCGAAAACTGATATGCAGAAAAAACAGGTTTTAGAAGCTGATTTTGAGACTTTAGAAAATATGTTAAAAATAACAAATGAAGTCCAAAAATAATGAAACTTTGGGAAATGTATATAAACAAGAAAACAAACATGTTACAAAAAGAATTTTCCAAATTGCATTTCTCATTTATGAAAAATCAATTATTTTGCAAAATAGTCCAAAACATGAAAATATGAGATACTTGATTTTGATGTTTGAACAATAAACCACTTTGAAAACTTTGTGAAATATTTTTATAGACTAGTAAAACATGTATAAACTGATATTGAAGTCTAGCAAACTAGAACATATTTTCAGCAAATCTGCATATTCTATGCAATGTTTTCAAAAAACACAATAGTAAATATGAATATGTGATTTCATATATTAAGAGATGAAACAAAACCATGCATGTAATATCATATAAACTATATATATACATAGAAAATAAAACTTTATGTGTGTGTATATATATATATAATATAAAATTATAACTATATACTATATATATATATAATACGAGAAATCAATAATGTGTGTGTATAATATTGAGCTTAATGTATTAAACATACATAATATCAATCCTAATAAATTACCATCCAAGCTTGATCTTGATCTTCATTGACTCACCTGTACGCGTTGCGGATGAAGCTAAACTTGATCTTGAACTGAATTGGTAACGATGCTTCACTCCACAATTCCGCAACCTCCTCTTGATATGAATGTGTAGGCTCAATCACATCATCCCCACAACTCGTTGTTTGTCTATAATAAATAAGAAACACAAATACTAGACAACCAACATTAGTGTAAATTATTTGTTAAACATCACAAAAAAGAAGGCCAACAGAGGGAGCTATGAGCGCTTGGAGGAGGCTGCGCGAGGAGGGAACGGCAGAGCGGGGGAGGGAGGGTGGGAGGGAGGTAGGGAGGGAGCGCGAGCGCTTGGAAGGCACCGACGACGAGGGGGGAGGGACCAGCAGGCGCATTGGGGAGGAGTGGGGAAGGGAGGCGGAGCGGGGGAGGGGACAGAGGGGGACCAGAGGAGGAGGGAGATGTAGGGGAGAGGGTAAAATCGGGATTTTGGAAGATAATACATTGGAACTTGGGGGAGGTGAGTTGGAGGGTCTGGACACAATTTTTTTAAAAAACAGGGGCTGCTGCACATTGGTGAAAGTTGGAGGGGCTGGGGCACAATGGAACTTGGAATTTGGGGCATTGAAGCAAATTTTCCTTAAAAAAGAAGTTGCACTCTTGATATTATAAGAAAAACAGATGAAATTGAAAAATGTATACAATTTGTACTTGAAATTGGAAACAGTAGGATATTATGGGACCCCTTTTTAAATTAATTAATCAAAAGCCTTTTTCTTAGTCAAATCACTTATCGGGTCGGATCCAAGGTACAGATCCAAATGTCTTTCTCTAACTAGACATATATATGAGAAAGAGGGAAAATATACGTTTCATATCAAATGTTCCCAAATGTCTTCCACTTGCAAACTGTTTGCATACAAAAAGCTCTACGATTTTTATCAACAATACCGACAAAACCTTAAAATATAAATTTTGTTATACCACTCTCTAATAATATAATGTTCCAGCTAAACGAGCAACCAATTTTGTGTTGGGGAGAAACCCTTATGCCGAGATCCAACCAAATAGCCGAAAGAGATAAACCAACACACTAACAAGAGCACAAACACAATCAACACCAGATTTTACGTGGTTCGGCGAGATGACTACGTCCACGGGGCAAGGAGGGAGGAGTTTTCACTATTAAAAATCAAGAGGAACAAACTAGGGTTACAAATCTCTCATAAACCCTCAACAAATCAACTCTCAATCTCTCCAATTGCTCCTAGAATAGAGGCCCAAAGAAAACCCCTTTCAACAGCTCAAAATACTTGCCTTACAAACCCTAGAATCGAGTTTGGGTATTTATAGAAACCCCAAACGAAACGGGTCTGGAAAACAGACCCAGCCCAAAACAGCTTTGACAGTCGACCGCGATCCATCGCGGTCGACCGCGGGCCCAGTAAGCCTCGTGCACGAACGCGGTCGACCGCCCCGGTCGACCGCCAAGCTGTAAACCTGATTCTGAGACTTCTGAGCCTGCCAATCTCCTACAAATCTCCACTTCGGCGAACGTTTTCCCAAAACTGAGCCGACACCGATCAAACCAATGCCTCAACTGCTACATCTAGTACGCCATGGCAACAAACTCATGACAAAAGACTCCATCCACAACACGTCGAGACCCTAACGGGAGTGTGAACACTCAACCCCAAAACCAACTGTGTCTACTCACCAAATCGGCTGCATCAAAACTGACTGCCTACGTATCCTCTCCAAGGAATCAAACCTTCACGTAGTTCACCCTATGGCCTCCAAAGGCCCTCAATGCAAAAGAAGAGTCTTCAACTCTTCACCAATACCAACATCCAATGCGTGACTGATAGCATCACCAACGGCCCCATACTGAAACAATCCAAACACCTCCACCTGAGGTGAACCAATGGCCATATCCAAGCTATATCCACCAGCTGCACACGGATCTACCAACTCGTCATCTGCATCCTGAACAATCTGATCCCCAAACTGTGTCACCTCAGCCGGAATCCCAACTAATGCAAAATGACCTGGAGTATGTGGAATAAGCTCTACCCGATGTGGAGTAGCATCAACCTCCACCCGCTGCGGTATCCCTCTGATCTGTTCAATACTCTCTACCTGCCAAGAGTCCAAAGTGACAAACCTACTCAGACCAAACTCAGAAGCTCCCAACTGATAGCCGAATGAACTCCTGAATCCCAAATGGGCAATCAGATCCAATCTCACATCAACGATGTGACCAAGTGCTGGGTAGCCAAATATCCGACGCTGACCAAAATCTGAAATAGCTCCACCAGATCTAACAACTCTACACACAGTAGTAGGCAACCTCATACGATGACCCAAACCTGTCGAAGCCTGAATACCAAATCCACTGCTCGACAACCAATGCCGATCCTCCTCCAGAAAAGAACGACCCACTAAATCCGCCATCTCATCACGTCGCCCCACTGTCTTCTCCCCTCTGAAGTGTCTCCAACTGCCATGAGCTCGGCAAATGCAAGAAAGAACCCCTACTAGAACTAGTACGACGGGTAGCCTTTCTACCCATACACCTCCTCTAACTGTTGCGGACTACTAGGGCTTTATACCAACGAGACTTGGTTACAACCCAAATATACCTAGTACAATCCCCAACATAGGAAACAAAATAACGATTACCTTCCAATGATGCATACATGGAAGGCCCCCCAATGCCTGACTGAACACCTCC